CTCAGGAGTCACATCGGGACCATTAGGATCGGTGAAGGTTTTATCTGGGTCTTCAGTCTCTAATGTAGAATCATCACTACCAAAATCGAGTGCTATTTCACTCTCCGTCAGTTTCAAAGATTATTTTACCTTTCTGTGGTTCACAATCAGGTGTTTGGCATGTTCCATAGGAGAACGCATTACACTGACAAACTTTTCTCTGACAGTAGTCATGCTACCAGGGCGGTCACCATCAATCTTCTTGCAGACCACAGGATCAGTAATGCCTTGATCGAACAGAGAAACACACGAAACCAATGTGATTTAGGCTGTAGAATTATGATCTACTATAATACTAGTACAGCTCTAAAAATAGACCTGATCCTAAAATTGTAGATTTGTCATGATGTAATCTATAAGATCTTACGTGGACGTCATAACATCGCCTACACCAACTCATTGTATCGTAACAATCACTAATATTTGATGGAGAACAAGCTTAGGCTAGAGATAGAGTAACATATTTAGTATGAATAAAAGATATAAGGTAAATTCAACAGGTACCACGCCTGCAAGTCCGAGCCATGCCATCCGACCAATTCTAATTAATTGAATTCTTTCCTCACGCCTTCTACATCGCTGGTTTTTTCTCCGCGTTAAATGTTGAATATCTATATTTCCAGTTGTCTCCTATTCAACTTTAAGGAGTGTGTAATTAGAGCCCAATGCCACTACAAGGCTTCGAGCACCTTTTGTATGTGGTGGGACTTCGACGGGTGCACACCTTGTGGAAATATTTTTACACTCAGATCATTAAGTTCCTTCCTCTATGGTGAAAGAATAGTTCGCCTGTCCAAATTTATAAGCGCCGCCGACCATGGTAAACTGAATGAAAGGGTTAAAAAACGACCAAATAAACAATATGATCACCAGTGCCGGAGTTCACTCAACAAAAAGTATCTCAGTTTACAGGAAATATCAAGTGATTCAAATTGTTTTGGATGTAATAGAAGAAGCTTTCGTTTAGTAGATTTCCGTATCTAGTAACAGAGGATCACCAATAACTCCAAACAGGTGTAAAATCGAAACAAGGGAAAACAAGAAAACGTTGGTTAATCACAATAAGATACTGTCCTAAGCCTTAAGGACACGTCACGTTTTCTCTCAAAGGGCTTCTTGGCGGTCGCTTGGACTAGTTCAGCCGGCGGTGAACTCCAGTATTTCTCTACTTTTAAGGAGTAGGTTTTTAAGGGGATATCCAGACGTAAGCCATTAGGTCACCTTTAAGACCGCTGTACTCTTATGAGTGAAGTTTCAGTAACTGGAAGCGCTCTTCATAGGACTTGAATTTCAGTCCTCGAATTGATTTCGTGACCCGCTGTTGGATGCATTGCAGAGTGTTCTTGTGTTTTTGGAGTGGGGGAGGAATTACTACGTTTCCGTACTGTAAATGGGTAAGGTTTAAAGAAGTTATGTCAGTGATGGGCAAGGAATACACTCAAATAGCGAAAAATTCGATATCATCCAAGACTGGGTTGCCCCCAAAAATGCTAACGGACTCCGTAGCTTCCCAGGTTTAGCATAGCAACTTATTATAGAAGGTTTATTCAAGGATATTTGGAGATTTTGACTCCTCTTCATGAATTTCTAGGAAAGGATGCTAACTTTGAATGAACTGATAAGTGCCAGAAATCTTTTGAATGGGTAGAAGTGTTGTTGTTTTCGACACCAATGTTAGCATATCCAGATTGTTCTCCCATTGCTAATAGTTTCAACTTAAACAACGATGTAAGTGATCAGACTATCGGTGCGGAATCGCCACAAGTTTCTTCGATGAGCGCATGAGAGCCAAACGCTACAGAAGTCAGAAAAAATTATTGCACAACACGCAAAAAGATGTTAACAGTCGTTTATTTTGTGTGCTACGCACGGTATTATTTATTAGGACGCAAGTTTAACGTTAGAACTGATCACAAAGCTTTAATATGCTTGCCAAAGTTTGGAGATCTCGAAGAGTAAATTTCCGAATCGCAAGAATGCTTACAAGAATATGATTACGAATGCATCAATAGTCCCGATAAACAGCGCCAAAATGCGAACACTTTATCACGTAGAGCAGCTAAACTCCATGGATAATGCCTGTCTCCGGTGGTAAAGTCTCAAAAAGTACGAAGCTAACACGAAAATACTCGCAAAAAGGTCGTGTATGACCGACCTCAATCAGTTGTCCCTTGAGCACAACGGTCACGCTCTCAGTTCACTGGGACCACCCCTAACCCAATTTCGTTTTCAGGTATCTCCCTAAGAACCCTTCCACAGTGTGGGCAACCAGGAAGTGATAGCCGCCATCGTACCTCAACGATACTCAAAACCACTGTATCTGTAGAATTATGGTCTACTATGATATTAGTATTGCTCTAATAATAGACGTAATCCTAAAATTGTAGATTTGTCATGGTATAACCGCCTAATCTATAAGACCTTACGTGGAAGTCACATCATCGTCTACACCGACTCACTGTATCGTAACAACTACCAATACATGATGAAGAACAAGCTTAGGCTAGAGAAAGAACAATATATTTAATATGAATAAAAGATATAAGGTAGTATTCAGCAGGGACCACGCCATGCCATTCAATCAACTCCAAATCCTTCAATTCCTTGTACGCGCCTACTCCATCGTTAGGTATTTCTCCGCTTTAAATATTGAATATCTATTTTCCGAGTAATCTCGTATTCAGCTATGAGGATTGTGTTGTTATGGTCCAATACCACTACATATCCATAATCGAGCGCCTCTTCAATTCATGCTATACTTCCTACATCACGTTTCAACTATAAACTTCCTCTTTTGACTTCCTCCTCAATTGTCACAACGGCCAACCATTCTTGTGTGCAAACCACTGTCCCAAGTCTACTGAAACCTCGCTTCAAAATATACATTGTAGCGTTCACCGTACGCACCCTGTGTCAAATCAGCTAGTAGGACTCATTGGCCAATACCCTAGAATCTCGTGCCACTGGTATATGCTGTGCCTCCGAAACACGCACACAGGATCCTTGTGTGGTCATTCACTTGACCCCACACAGTCAAAACGGAGGTACAACTGGTTCCACCCTCTGTTTATCTGGCAACCCGATGGCCAACGATCGTGGACTGGCAGGTGTAGACATAGGACTAAGCATGAGGGCAGATCAAGCAGAATTAGAATGGATTCCCGTTAACGGTCGCCTATGTACTATCCGGCTAAACAGTTCCGTCAGAACCCGGAAGGATAGGAACAAACGTCGTCCCCTCTTCGTCGTTTCTGCCCATGCCACCATAAGAGTTGAACTCAGTGACGAGAAAGCCAAACGTAGGTTCCACGAGCAACTGAGGTCACAATTAGGTAGTTCTGAAACGAGACTGACCCAGATGTTTCTTGGAAAGATATACAAATATCTGTGGAAACATCAGTTACATCTATCAGTGATTTAAACCACAGGGTTACAAAGAACCAATGGATTTCCTCAAGGTTTATTGCACTGATGGATTCTTGTAAATTCATCCCATCAGGCTCTGAACACGATGAAGAGCGAAAGCAAATCAGATGTAGGTTAACCAAAAGTCTAAGGAACGACCGTGAGCAGTGGTGGGCAACGAAAGCAAAAGAGATGGAAAAGGCGGCGGCTATAGGGAACACAAGACAGCTCTACAGACTAATAAAAGAAACTGGAATTAATAAGTCAAGTGTAAGTGAGATTATATCGGAAAAAGACGATACTCTCATCTGCTCTCAGTCCAGACGTTTAGGACGATGGGTGGAACATTTTAGAGAACAGTTTACCTGGCCTTCAGCTACCCTACAACTACCCTCCATTCCCAGACAATGTGGATGGAACATTGAAGTAAGTCTCCTAACCCTAGCAGAAGTTCAAAAGGCTGTAGTTAATCTGATACGAGGAAGAGCAGCCGGCACAGATAGATTGGCTCCAGAGGTCTTTAAGTATGGTAGTTTAATATTGGCGATTAGATTGAATAATATTTTAGCTAAAATCTGGGAGTTGGACGTTATTCCATCTGATTGATCACAATCACTGATCATCCCAATATATAGGAGAGCGTCAAAATCATCCTGTGACAATCTTAGAGGGATCAATTTGACTAATATAGCATCTAAAATACTAGCCTCAGTAATTATTGGGCGCCTAAAATAGACTGGTGAACTGCATACGCGAGAAAACCAGGCTGGATTCGAACTTGATCGTGTCTGCATCGATCACATATCTACCATTCGTCAGGTTCTAGAACATGCTTATTAGCGTCTGACAATGGTGGTCTTTCTTGACTTAAAAGAAGCATTTGACTTTGTAGACTGAGAGGGTTTGTGTCAGTGTCTGTCACTGAAAAGTGTACATCAGAAGTACATAAACCTTGTTAAGGCTCTTTACTCGAACACCGTTAATCGAGTGAGAGCTTATGGTGAACTGTCATCTGCTTTTGCAACCTCAAGTGGTGTCCGACAAGACTGTCCACTATCTGCATTTTTGTTAAACTTCATTATGGACTTAGTGCTGGGAATAACGTTCTCGTCGACTGAGTTTCTAGGAATTGATATCCCACCAGGAGGTCCACTTATCAATCTTTGGGCGACGCTAAAGATACCTGGAGGACGTCCACATACACACTATGCCTAAATGAGGGTTATGAACCAGTGTGAGGAATTAAGTCTATTATTTACAGTTGATAGTCGGGGTTAGGAATTAGATATAGGGCTTTGATCACGAACTGACATCAGCTATAATTCAAAAACTCTATTTAGCCAGACGAATGAATTAATTTTGCACCAAAATCCGAGACCTATTATCGTAAATCTGGTTGATTCGTCCATAAATTATAGTCTTGCCTCGAAAACTACTCTCTTTAAAAAGGTGGCTTGACTTTACAGGCTTTATGAGCAAAATAAGGAGTTCCCGATGTGCAATCCAAAACATATATGTGTGAGCATTGAATGCTGTTTTCGTGTACTACTGAATATTGATAACACGTACGGCGGGGCTTCGCACACGTGATGAAGTCTATTAATGTAGTGATTTGTGGTTGGAATCAAATTACAGCATCCGTAATAAAGATGCTCAGGAAACATAAAAGTGTGAATATAATTGGATACTGGTGTGAGTCTTCGAGCAACCGAATTCATGCAGATGTTGCTGGTATGAAAGTTATTAGTGAGCCTTTTAAAGATCTAATATCGAATAAAGATATACAGTTTTTATTTCTTTGTGATACTCCGGTCAATCAACGCAATCTTGTCTCAATAATTGATTGCTTGAGCAAAAAACAGTTTGCTTCGGATACGGTATTGCAAGACATCCCTTATATAATTATTTTTCCTCCCGTATCACCTAATTATGATATGGACATGTTAGAGAAAGTCAGAATTCGTGTCGGCTTCGCCATGCCCTTGAGAAACCTACCTTTATCTACCCTTTTGTTCACTCACCTTAACTACAATCATAAAGAAATGAAAGCACTCAGGAATTACGAATTTACTCGACTCCCCACACATTGGGTTTTAGGAACTATAGAAAGCATTCATATAAGATTGTCCACAGTCAGTTTTGTTGATGGTAGTGAGTACTCATGGTTATCTGAGTCGGAAGATATGGGTGGAGGACTGCTGAATATGTTCTGTCCAGGTCTTATTGACCTTGTTTATTTCCTTTCTGGAGGGCTTCGAATAACTTCAGTTACGAGTATTTGCCGAATATTCGGTAAAAGAACAAGCGATCTGAGTCATTCTATTCGCCATATCTCTGCAGATGACTACGTCACTATAATGGGCGAACTCGACATACCAACATTACCCGGATTTCGTAAACCAGTAGTCGTCATAATTCTTTCGTCAGATATCCCTTCCCCAAAAAATAGGATGAGTGATCTCCCTGAAGCACATTTTTATGACAATCATTGTTTCAAACTGGAAATAGAAATTAATGGATCAACTGGTAGCTTCTTGATTGATGAAGGCAAAAGGCGAATTTCATGGACACCTCGAAAAGCAGTCTCATCAAAGCCTGGTAAACTGAACAGCAAACTAACTCAGTTGGACTGCGAAAATCACTACCGTGACAAACGACCTGGAAATATAGAGGAATCTGAATTTGAAGGAGTGTATACTGATGACGTATTAGCCAGTGCTGTTGCTAGTAACGTGCCTCGAACTCAGGTTCCTACGATGCTAAACGTCAATCTCGATGAGGATGGAATGACAGAAATAGTTCATCTATCATTAAACGTAAGTTACACCAAGTTGTGTTACTAATACTATCTTTTATCATGTTACATCTGTTGACCATATGCTTTATTTAGCATCCTGTATTATCTATACTATTCCTTTAAACCAGCCTCATCCATCGTAGCTGATCATTAGACCGAAGTACTGTGAAGTAATACATACATAGAACTCTAATAAACCTCACTGTATCAGTAAGTAACTCTAAGTTCATTCAAAGGTTTTCTAAGCGTACAACTATTTATTACCTAAAACCTCCAGCAATCAGTTTAAAGCCGTAATCATGATACTGACGAAGAGAGTTGTTCGTCGCCACTTTAATGGCGAATCCAATCGATATTCGTAAATAAAAAGTATTTGACGTAGCCAGCAAAACGTACTTAAAGTGTTTGCGTAAGGTGGAGTCGTGTATGACCCAGTAATAATTATATAACAGTATATGCCCGAATTTAGAGGTCAACCAATTTGCTTACTTTCTGTCATCCTATCACTGTCAGACGTTCTTTTTCGCACAGGACTCACTACATGACTCGGAATCAGTAAAGAGTGCTCAACATGGTTATCTATCCGCAACTGGAGAAGCATGGACGAACTGGATAAGTGGTTTAACCAAAAGCTTTTCTCCGGAGTGGAAATCATTCGAATTTTTGTCGGCAAGTCCCGGCCATTGGGTTTACATTCAGTCAGTTATGCATGCGATAACCAAATCCACACAACTTAGATGTTGGATCGACGTCCAAACTGGCAAACGCATATGATAGCTTTCGTAGTGTTATTGCAGTGAAAATCATGAAAAAATACGTCTCACGGCCATACTTTACAAAACTCAAGAGAACACCTAACATCAAGTTAACAAGGGTTGGTCTATGGGTCCAACAAATTAAAACGGGATTTTTATTCAAGAGTCCTAGAAATCGATTATGTATTATTAACTGATTTATTACGAAACGCTTGTTTTTCGTGCTTATCGAATAAATGTTTAAACTCAGGTATTTCACTTTTACAAACTGTAAATAAGATGTAGCACTCGGAACCACAGAGTACTCGAAAATTTCTCCGCTTGTGTTGATTTCAACCCAGTAGGTTCATAATCGTATTATCATTTTGTTATTTTAGTCTGGTATTTGTATTTTTGAAGTAGAGATGTTCCCCTGTTGAGTTTAAGTAGTAAGAGATTATGCCGTACGGAACTGTATATAAATCGACGTCATAGAAAAGCTTTACAACGTATTCCGAAAACTCGAGATGGCTATTTCATCAGATCACAACCTAATTAAATCTGTTCAACGTTGAGTGAAGTAATTATTATTAAAAGACAAAGTTACAGATTTATAGGAGAACGGGCAAGAAAGGTTCAGATAAAAAAATGAACAATCTGCAATAAACGACAAACGTTATTCACATACAAAAGAGAACGGAAAGAACTTGTTTATTTATCTCATCCTTAGGTAAAAAGACAGATGCACGATCTCTAAAGAAGTCGTCTTAAATAAGCGTCATTGTCACCAGCGTCACTGTTCATTGATTTTTTTTGTCATCGATTTACCACCTAAGCGCGCTTTATCCACGTCGAGGCAGGCGACACATTTCGCATTCATCAGTATCAGGACTATTATGAAAAGTACAATGAGAACAGGCCCAGTGACTAGATTCTGAATTTCTTTGTTCTGTTATCCCCGATGGTGTTGTTGTTTGAGATGACCAAGTTGATTTAGGTACTGATGTTGGACCAACTCCTAAAGAAACACTAGAACCACTGAGTGCAGAACGATAGGAATCTGATTGAGTAGGCAATGGAGGACTAGGTGGCATATCTATTATGAAATAAGAAAACAAAACAGTTGAATTCCTCGTTGATGATCACGTAAAACATGATAAGATCAATCGACTTTGCAATTTATCGCTAGAAATATTTTGGTAACAATGCAATATCAAAAATACTGAATACAATCGAATAGTATACTTAAATCATCCCTTGATTCCTATCATGTTCAAGAGATTTTCAAGTTTAAGGTAAAATGTAGATCAGTTAAATGATCTAAATTTGACAAGTAGTTGACAAGAATTTTACGATATAACATAATCAATCATATGGGACTAGCATAATATTTGCTTGTAGTATTCTACTAGATGGACCACGGTTAGATAGGATAATTTTAGATTAGCTTAGTTGACTAAAATAGCGCATATTTTTGAAAATTTTGTTTATTGGTGAGATACTACACTATATAAAAGTAGCCTAGTTCAAAATATACTATAATCTAAGTACTTCACGTTAATAATAGTACACCTAATCTCTCAGTAAATAATAAAACGACCAGTGTGACATACTATGACTAACAAATTATTTTGGGAATGCATGACATTATCCTGTTACAATTGAAATGATACTAAAATAAAAAGGTTATATAGCACTCTACAGAGTACAAATTAATACATATTTATATTATGCATCATATAAGGCTAACATGCACATACAAAATCAAATCATTTGGTCGTAAATTGAAACAACTATCCAGTTTAATTCATTGTATATTACTTGTTTGAATCTTCTCATTGATGTTTAGGACTGCAATTGTTCCGTCCGATATTGGCATATGTGTACCCTATGCGTATCGCCTCGATATTGTCTTAATTTACAAGCATTATGAGCAGAGATGTATGCTAGCTACCACCATGTACCTGTGCCTAAAACTACGCACTTTGTTATCCTCGAAAGTCTGTCTCCTCTTAACAGGATAACCAAGGATTAGGCCTGACAGTCAAGTCTTAAACGAATGAATAGTTCGTGGCCCATAAAATTAACTCTGTCCAATCGCTTACAGATATTTTGCCATGGTATCATTCGTATTTATACTTTGTATATAAGCATGTTACTTAATGCGAAAAATCTCTATTCATCTGGCTTATGGTCATATCATTTATATCTCATGAGTAGTCATTATCCGGTTACATCGTATCACTACATATTGTCTATCGATTAGCACATTCTCTTCTTTCGTTTTAACAATCGGAAATTTGTTTCTCTAGTTATTAGAATTATTCACCTAAACAGATATTATACGCATATGATTAGATCAAAGTAACTTACCGGAAACAACTGCATTAGCCAACTCTTGTACAGTAGCCCAAATTGGTGATTCACTAGCCCATTTCTTAACAGCTAATTCATATTGTTTTATCGAATCATTATTATTATTATTATTAGAACAACGTAAAGCAATCGCATCCAACAAACCAACGATTCCATATGGATCTTCATTTAATTTACCTTCAGAGTTGAAAATTTGTAAACCAAGTGTATCATTGTTAACTAACCATGCAAGTATATGGAAATTAGTCAAACATGTATGAATTTGATCAACTCCAAATTTATGAAGTACACGAGCAAAACTCGGAATATCCTTTGCAGAAAATAAAAACAAGATGAGAATGGATATTTATCTATAAAGTGTGTAAAAGGTAGCAAATAAACAAATATTTCCTAAATAAATAAGAATCGGAAAATAAAACAAAGATGATAATTGACCGTAGTACTTAAGTTTACGACCAAAGAAATTCTAAATAAACAAATATACACATTATTAGTAAGGGTTCGTGGTTTTCGATTGATTATACTCAGAACTGTAAATGATTAGTCTCTGTTGCTATTCTGAACAAATTGTCTCAATTTGATGGTGCATCAATAGTTGTGATCTATTTTGGCATATGAGTGACAGTGGGATTTAGCACATGTGTTTCATTCTGTTTGGGGCTTTTCAGTGGGATTTTACTGGTACATATCAGTGTGAATGTTCAAAATAAGATTTGAACTTAACAACTGATGCTGCAAACGTTCAACGTATTTAACTACTGAGTCAAAATGGAAATTAACTTGTCCGACGATTATGGATGAATTAGCGAGAGGTTTCATTTATTATTTTTTTTGCTACTATTTACGATTGAAACTGATCAATCTCTGTGACTATATGTGTAGGCTGAGTACATTGTCTCGATATACCATTATATTACATGTTTAATATATTTAGTACAAGGGCCCTCAAATGCCCTGGTACGGCCGAGAGTGAGGAGAGTCTGCTCTCCCTCTCCAAATGCTCTGATATGGCCACGCGTATACAGCCTCTGCCAGGGAAGTCCTACTCACTACCTTCTCGTGGCACCGGTGTTGTTTACGAAAATGGGAGGACGAAAACCGAATGTCCCGGGCTTTAACTGGATTCCAAACCAATGGGGCACATGGGCTTCAGGATTCTGCGGGAACAAATGGCGTATGAACCAATCGTTGTTCACCGGCTTCCATGGGACTGCATCTCCTTACGATGCTCCACTGTCTTGTAGATCAGACCTTCAGGTCGAAGGCTCCAGGTGTGGTCCCCTAAGAAAACCACCTGCTTCGGTTTGGGCACCCGGGCAGTATCACAGCCCTCACACATATCGAATGAGATTTGTGTGGCGCATATGTATTTGGTGCCTCCTTGTACCAATATCTATGTGTTAAAATAAATAAAAATAAACAAGACCAAAACATGTGTTCTAAATCCCAGTGTTACCTATATAACAAATAAAATAAATATATAATTTCCCTAGGCTACATACGTAATAGTGGTTTAAATTGCTTTAAAGCATACAACTTTAAATCAATAAGTTAAAAATTAACAGATTTAGTTTCCATCCCTACTTTGATCTTATTAGATGAGTAAGCTAACTAACAATTGTGAGCAACATTACATGTTAAAAAAACAAAACATAACGCTCTTCATTCACGCATACACGAACATAAACTATCAATGAGTCAAAGTGATATATTATTACTGATATCAAAGTACGTACATAAAAACAAGTAGGAATTTCGTGAGAAAAACATGTAAATTTTAGATTGAGGACAATTTAAGATTTCCAGAAGTATGATATTTAAATCAATGGACATATTATTATAGATTTAATCTATCAACAGATAAGGAAAAATACTATACAGATCAAGACATTTAACATAAATCCATGGACAAACGAACACAAGAAAACTTACGAAGACAATCAATCATAGACAAGAGTATCAGTATGAATTGATTTAACGCTTATGGAATAATAAGAAAGATAAATTCTATATGGATTAGGACATCAGTCTTATTCAGAACAATAATAAAAATTTCCGAATGAAACTGTATTAAGCTCAAAGAACACAATATCAAATTCATGAACATTTTTCCACAATATAAAGAAATGTAAATTTAAAAGATAGAAAATAGAAGTATCATTGGAAAAGTTCCATTCCATAGTATTTTTTTCCTTATTAGAGTTTTGTTATATCTTAGCGAAGATTAAATTACGAATAAATTGTGAGATCTATTAATGAACTAATATTCTATAAATATTCCTACTGTATATCTATTCAGTGACTAGATTATGTATATCTATATTCCTCTTATTATAAGCTTCATTTTGACCTATGGATTGTTATTATACGACTTACTGTTCGTTATGTTCAGTTTATTAACCACAGTCTTCCACGTTCACAGCCACTTTTTGGCCTGATCTTGT